AGAACAACATCGACTTCTGCTTCACTGGCTACTCAAAAATCCTTTGACTCTGTGGACCACAGTAAACTATGGCAACTCTTTAAAGAGTGCCTGACCACCATATGTATTTCCTGAGATATCTATATGTGGGACAGTTAGAACTGGATACAGAACAACTGATTGGTTCAAAATTGGGAAGGGAGTATTGCAAGGCTGCATATTGTTCCCCTGCGTAGTAAACTTACATGCAGAATACATCATACAGAAGGCTGGCCTGGATGAATCCCAAACCAGAATTAAGATTGCCAGAATGATTATCAACAACCTCATATATGCAGACAATACCACTCTGATGGCAGAAAGAGAGGGGGAATTAAAGAACCTCTTAACGAGGGCGAAAGAGGAGAGTGCAAAAAATGGTCTGAAGCTCAACATAAAAAACCCCTAAGATAATGGCCACTGGTACCATCACCTCCTGGCAAATAGATGGGAAAGATATGGAGGCAGTGAGAGAGTTTACTTTCTTGGTTTCCATGATCACTGCAGACAGTGACAGGAGCAACAAAATTAAAAGACGCCTGCTTCTTGGGAGGAAAGCAATGACAAACCTAGACAGCATCTTAAAAAGCAGAGACATCACCTTGCCAACAAAGGTCCGCATAGTTAAAGCTATGGTTTTTCCATTAGTGATGTATGGAACAGAGAGCTGGACCATAAAGAAGGCTGACTGCCAAAGAACTGATGCTTTTGAATTGTGGTGCTGGAGGAGACTTTTGAGAATCCCCTGGACTGCAAAGAGATCAAAGCTATCCGTTCTGACGGAAATCAACCCCAAGTGCTCACTGGAAGGACAGAGCCTGAAGCTGAGGCTTCAGTACTTTTGCCATCTCATGAGAAGAGAAATCTCCCTGGAAAAGACTCTGATGTTGGGAAAGTGTGAAGGCAGGAGGAGAAATGGATGACAGTAGGATGGACACTGTCATTGAAGCAATCAACATAAATTTGACCAAACTCTGGGTGGCAATAGAAGATAGGAGGGCCCTTCACTCCCAGGTTTGTACAAGAGGGATGGGCTTTTATGAATGAATACTTAGCGATTATACAAGGCGGCCATGACTCAAAAAACTGCTGGCACATAACATTGAAAAAGTTGCAGAATAACTTTTAAACAGAATCCATGAGAAAAGCCGACAGGAGACGAGTGGCATTCATTTTGGGACTCCTCCTCCCTATGGAATGAGGGTGGAGAGGCTAGAGAACTACAAATTGATGATAGTGTAGGAATTAGGAGCGTGATGGGATGGGATTGTTGGTTCACTGGAAGGAGAAGCAAACAAGCTTTGCGGGCGACCCCACATGCAGGTGCTTTTAGGCAAATGCTGGAAGCGTCTCAGGAAAGATGGGAGAGCTGGAACAGTTGGAGGGTAGATAAAAGATTGATGTAGTGGCCATAACGGAGACCTGATGGGATTCGGAGAACCAGAGGGATGATGCCATCCCAGACCATAAACTCTACAGGAGGGATGGGGAGGTGCGTGTTGGAGGTTTAGGTGGGACGTTTGCCCCAATCCCTTGGGTAGCGGACCTTTTCAGATAACAGACACCAGACCACATTTACTTCAACCGAGTTTCCTGGTTTCATGAAACAGGCTGCAGCAAATACCGATCTTCCGTCGTGGGGGTTCCCAGCCAATTGGAGACTCTTGGGATAAGGATAGCAACTCTTTCTATAATCATGACAAAGCAAGCTTGTTTCGTTCCTTCCACAGAAGCCTATTCTCCCCTTCTCACGGTCGCTCCCTTTGAGAACAGACCGGGTCCTCCCTTGCAAGACCAGTTCGAGCCCCACCCGGGTCGAACGCCCTGTCACAGTCCAGACCAACATTCATTTGGTCTGTGGGTCAACCCAGATCTATGAAGGAAGAGACAGTCAATGTTTTGATATTGTAATGCAGTTAGAATTTATTAAGAAAAAAAGAGGGGATGCAGAGCTACAGCAGTGATAGCAGAGGGAATTCCCAGGGCTCTGGGGACCCCTGTGTAAACTCTGGGTCAGGAGACCCCCCCCAACAGTGCCAGGGGGAGGCAGGTTCTACAGGAGAGTAGGGCTTGCAGTGAAGGAGAGCTGGAAAAAGTCTGGATTCAGACAGCAATCTGTCTTCATGAGAGTTTCCCTTCTCTAAGCATCTGGCCCCGGAGACACCATTTCTGGTCAATTAGCTGCCTAACTTTGCCAAGGTAGCTGTCTTCATTTTCCCTTCTCTAAGCATCTGGCCCCGGAGACACCATTTCTGGTCAATTAGCTGCCTAACTTTGCCAAGGTAGGAAGTGTGAAGAAGGTTCTTGCTTGGCTACATGGAATGTGAGTAGCCGGCCTTTTATTCCTCTTGAGCAGGTACAGCTCAAACTGAAGCTGCTGACTTAAGTGTAGAAAGAAATAAAGAAAGCAATATTGTTGGAGAAGCAATAAAGAGAACAAAAGAGTAACAAATAAAAAGAAGAACAAAAAGCCAGCTAAATTGGGGCAATTAAAAGACAAGTTAGCTCTTACTTAATCTCTCTTTGAAATGTACCGGAGAAGCTTATTTTCTAAATAGTTTTATTATTGTATCCCTGAAACATTGGCCAATTTTTAACTGTGTCACACCTTAAAGAAATGAAACTTTGTTGCACATAAAGACCCATAGTATTTGATGTTTAAGAAGATCTGAGTTTTTAAAGAGATTGTGCAACAGAGGTACAGTGGTGCCTCGCACCACGGGCGCCTCGTAGAGCGAGGTGCCTGCATAGGGCAAAAATCGCAGAGCGAAGGTCAGTAAGCGGTTCGCTTACCGCCCTTCGCTTTGTGACCTGCCGATCAGTTGTTCGGCGGGTCCAAAATGGCCACCGGAACAGCCGAAATGGCCGCACGCAGTGTTTTCGCACCCTCCCCTCGCTTACCGAGGGCGCGAAAATGGCTGCCGGCCATAGGAAGCATCGCTGTACGACGAGTTTTTGACCATTTGGAACGCATTAAAAGCTGTTTAATGTGTTCCAATGGCTTTTTCCTTCCCGTACAGCGATGCTTTCACACAGCGAGGGTTAATCCGGAACGGATTAACCTCGCTGTGCGAGGCACCAATTTGGGGAGAATCTGTGTGTTTATGTAGAAAAAGAAGGAAACTTCCCTCCCCCCCCCCAAGCGGCCTTGCTGTGATTCGCGAAAGGTGGATCTGGCTAGACAATATCTGGATAGACAATGTGGATGTGCTAAATGGGAGTTTGGGACTGACAGATCAATGGTTTTACTGCTTTACAGCTTTTGACTGAATTTGAAGTACATGGAAAAGAATGGATTCGGTTGATGTGGCATGTCTTGGAGAGAAGATGGAAGTAGAGGTAGTCCTTCTGGATTTATGAAAAGCTACATCAATGTAACTGAAATTTTAAAAGTTGAATTATTGTGTTTTTGGTATATTTGTGATATAAATATAACTAGGCTTCTCTGTAAATTGAGATTTGTAGGGGAAAATTTAAGTTAAAAAAATAAATTGAGGTTTTATTTCTTAGTGGAAATTGTTACCTTACAATAAATTTATACCCAAGAAATAGAAATGGCAGATTCTTTTAAGAACTAGATGAAGGAGATTCAAATACTGTAAACATTATTAATCAACTTATAGATCACATCAAAGCGCAAACTCTAAAAATTAAGGCAGTAACTTCAGGACTCAAAGAGGACGTGGAATGGACTATTCGGAAGAAAGAATAATTCACCAAAGCAGTGGGAGTAGCCGAAAATAATACACCAAAGCAGTGGGAGTAGCCGAAAAAGAAAATTTAGAATCAAGACTGAAGAAAGACAAAATAATGGACTTTTATGAGAGGAAGGTCCAGGTGGATGAGCTGTGGATTTATACTAGTGAGAAGATCATACCAAAAATGTGCATCTTTTTGTTAGAAGAGAATTTAGAGAATGAAAGGGTGAAAGCAGTGATGATGAAAGGGATACAATATAGACACATATGATTGGATTCGAATGTGGAATGAGAACTATAGGCAGATTAAATCAGTAAACCTGAGAGAAAATGTTTTAAAGATGTTCCATAGATGGCATTTAAAATGGCAAAAAGGGTGTTAGCCATTAGAAATCAACATTAAAAATGTTGGCAGCAACTTTGGACTCTCTTTGCTTAGGTGGTGGATATGTGACAAAAGTAAAATGATATTAGAGATAAAAAAGATATTACATAAAGCATTACACAAGTAAATAAAGAAACAGTTTCTGGCCTTATAAGAGCATTAATGGTTTAACCCCTTTCTCCAAAAGTAACACCTAACCTGAAAATAGGTCCTAGTATGATTTTCAAGGATAATCGTAATATAAGCCCTACCTCAAAAATAAGCCCCAGTTAAGTGAAATCCCGCCCTCCACCCTTGTACAGCAACCAGAAGATGATATAACTGTATTTGAATGAACCTAGATCTTTGAACAGAAAAAAAACATCCCCTGAAAATAATCCCTAATGCCTTTTCTGGAGCAAAAATTAAGATAAGGCCCTGTCTTATTTTCGGGGAAACACGATAGTAATAAC